TACCTCCTCTGGCTTTAACAACAGCTTGGCATATACCAGGCATTCGTTCCACAAGTTTTTTAAGGTATGTTCCAGGGATTGCATTACAAGCTTTGATGAGTTCATTAAAAAGAGACTGCTGATTTGTGGGACACGTTTTTCTGACCGATCGATCCAATTCATCCCGCACAAGCTCTATTGAGAAAGGTCTGGAGACTGAGGGGACCAAACCATCTTTTGAAGAACACCTTCCTCTTCTTTTTTGTCTAGGTAACCCTGACAGAGCTTGGCAGAGTGCTTGGGGTCATTGTCTTGCTGCAAAACAAACTTATGACCCACAAGTCTTAGTCCAGATGGAACAGCACGGTGCTGGAGGAAGGAGTGATACTGTTCCTTCCTCATGATACCCTTAACTTCAGACAAATCTCCTATCCCATCACCTGCAAAACACCCCCATACCATGGAACTACCACCTCCATGCTGAATCGTGGGTGTAACACATGGTGCTTTCAGACGTTCACCAGTTTGTCTGCGGACATAGACTCTGCGTTTTGAATCAAACAGTTCAAACTAGTCATCATAAGTCCATTTTTTTGTGAGCTTTTGCCCACTCATATCTCTTTTTCTTGTTCTGTTGACCAAGTTGTGGTTTTTTTGCAGATACACAACCCTTCAGACCAGCCTTTATCAAACGTCATTTCACGGTTGTCAGAGATATGGGTTTCGACCTTGTCATGTTGATTTCCTCCCTTATTTATGGTGCCGTCTTTCGCCGGTCTCTCTTTCAGGTTCCTCTAATCTCTTTAGTGTAGTGGACTCCTTTGTTAAACACCTTTAGGCGTTTTGCAATTTCTCTTTCTGTGTATCCTTCTTTCCTCAATGTACAAATCTGTACTTTTGTTTCTTTACTCAGTTGCTTCTTTCCAGCCATTTTTGCGGTAGTTTGAACGCAGTTGAGATTTATTAGGATTTTTGTATGCAGACTCTCAAAAGCCAAAAGTTGAAGTGAATAATCCAACTGTGATTTTTTTTTTGCTTTTGCACTGAAGTTGTGACTCTTGCAAATGTTTTCAACCCTAAAATTAAGCCCTTATTAAATTTTGCTGACATATATTTAGCAATGGTCTGTTAACATCAATGTATATCTAAAGGTAAATGGAGTAAAATGGTGCATTTCCATGAAAGCAACATCTGATCATGGAGTAAATACATCCCAAAAATACATATAACTCATGCTGGATTTTAAAAGAAGCATCGTGAACAAAAACTTGAAGTTACTCCCAACTGTATGGCCTGTAATGGCCTTGCTTCCAAACTTTTGACCTGTAGTGTATTTGTGACAGTTTAATATTGTCATATTATTTTCAGATACAGTAGGTAACTGTAAATAAAAAGACATACTGTATGTGTACACAGTGGTGCTAGCTGGACAATTTCCAGCTACATTTCTTTTCTTTTTAAAGAGTGAATTGATATTTGCCACTTTTTTGCACTTGACATGAGAGGGTAGCAACTTTCCTCCCTGCTGCTCGTATTATTTCACCTGTAGTCCCAACCCCTCTCTCAAACAGTAATCGGAGACCCTCTTAGTTCCTGGTGTCAAAGTTCAATCAGATTGAATTGTCAAATCATGACCTGAGGGGTCATCTGAAGCTGGGGCAGAATTTCATTTGGAAACTTTCTTGTGTGATGGCTCGGTTGTAGACCTGCAGCAGTCAGACTGAATTTGAAGAAGAGAACAAAGATGATTTGATTTAAGGTTCATTAAAATTTAAGACAGAAGAAAAATGTAGGTTGTGTCGTTTCATTAGGGGTCAGACATATATGACTTTGTTGTCCAATCAAAACCAAATGTAGCACCTGCTTATTTATTTTTCCTTTTCATTTTAAGGACTATTTTGCAGAATTGAAGAGAGGTGAGAGTCTAAAATTAACTGCTGTTTAGTAGTTGTAACTTCAAGAAGAGGCAGGTGGTCTTTGAGGCCACTGTAATTCTTATGTAACTAAACTAAGCATAAACTGAATCTACAGACAAATGTTGAACAGTTTTACAGCTGCTGTAAATTTAACAACAGACCTAAAAGTGGAACCTTCAGTACAGTAGTTGCAAATTGGTTGCAATCTGCAACACCACCACTAGATGCCACTAAGTCCTCCACAGCAGTCCTTCTTGACAACAGTTATGTCAGAGCAGACATGTTTGAAATACATACAATGAGGATTTGAAGTAAAGCGTGGACCTTTTAGAGACTCTTAGTTTACTGTCTGTTACAGTCTTATAGTTCAACAATAATCTGACCCAAACTCCTCAAACAATAGAGCTTACACCTCCCATAATGCAACTTGATTACTTCTTGTGATATGATAAAAACCACAGACTGTATAAAACATGGATTTAACCTCAGTGACATAACCCATTGGTTTCAAAATATGTGTCAAAGGTGCAGTGTGTAATAATGATCCGCAGTTAGAAGAACAGTGTTGCACCGCCATGTTTCTAGAGAAGCACTGAAGAGACAAACCAGTAAAAAAATGCATTGTTGCATCAAAAGTTGCACAAAATGAACAGCTTAAAAGACAACGAATGTTATTAGGAGAGTGATGGTTGCTGTTTGGGTATGAATGTGTGTGTGTGTGTGTGTGTGTGTGTGGGGGGGGGGGGGTGATTTAATCACAATCATCACAAATAAAAATAATGCTGCTTTACCCCCAAATGCTTAGAGTAAATCAGAGTAAACTTATAGATCAGGTATTGTATTTTCAAAATATTAATGAGGGATCACCCTTATAATGACTCGCTTTCTTGACATAAAGTCAATGTCTGTTAGGCAAGTAAAAATGTTACTGCTCTTTACAAAAAACACAGCAACCCACTTTTTAATCACACAGAAATTTGATATTAACAGTACTTTTTCTTTTCTCTCCACTTTACTTGAATTTTGCCCAGAAAAAGAAAATTCTCCACTCAAACTGCAGCTTTTTCAATATTGAGTCTGTTGGCCTGTGTTCCCCCTCCATCTGTTTTACTGTTGGTCTGGTTATAATGAGGCTCCTTTTACCCCAATTAAAAAATATTGACATAATTGATAAATAATAATACATTTTAAAGTGTTTATTTTGCATATAAATGAGCTGAACTGTCCATGCCTATCATCTCACATCTCTGTATATCAGTGTTGTCGTGCTCAGTCCACCTTGTTAAACAGTATCTGCCTGTTGATTGTGAACATGAGGGGCTGGACAGTTAGTGAGCGCTGCACTCAGGCCTCTCAAGTGACACGGCTCTCAATAGTATCACTGTCCGTCAGCTCCACACGATGGCTAATGTTCTCAGACCACAGCCTCTAATGAAGGACCTGCACATCAAGGGTAGGTCAGAAGAGTGTGTGTGAGTGTGTTTTCCCTTAGGCTGAAGTGTGCTATAGCAGCTGGTTTCTTCACATTCCTCCTCTTTGCAGTGATCGCTGAAAATTTTGACAAGCTCTTCATATACATGATGAAATGATAATGTGAAGCTAATGTGTTTAGAGTGTGCATGGCATGTAAGTCTTTATTATATAACATTTTGTATGGTATGTATTGCCTCGGATCAGCACACTCAGAAATATTTTCTAAACCCCAATTTTTTTTTGTCTTATTTTTTACTTCTGTTAAAAAAAAGTGAGAAAGATGGAAGCTATTTTCTTAAAGACTCCAAGACTTCAAGAAAACCATGACCTGGATGAATGAGAATCTACATGGACAAGATGGAAGCTACATTGCTGTTCATGCAGCTGCACTTTGTTTTTTTCTGAATTTCTTCTATCCTTATATTTGCAGCCAGTTTTTTTTCATCATTTTCGAGATCTGTAACTGTACACCTCCACCTCTCTGCTGCCTCTCTCCTCTTTTCTAGATCAGCTACATGCTAGTTTGGCACTGGATCTTTGCTGTTGTAGCGGTGCTTATCTGCTCTGTGATTACACATTTATCTGCTTACCTACAGGATTATGTTAACAAAACAAAACAAACAAAACAAACAAAATCAAATACTATAATGATCTACCTGCAAAGCCACCACCCGATCACTCTTTGAGGTCTTAATGTTGTGATGAATTTCAGGTTTCGCTAGGTCTCCATCTAGCTGTGTTTGCAGCCACAATACCATCAAAACATTCATGTCTATCTTAGCCTTAATCATTTGACTACATAAGAGGTAGAAAGACTCATTTTTGGAGGGTAACATTCTGTGCAGGATTATCGCCCTTAACACAAACAGCATCCAAAAAACAAGCTAGCAGCAGTTCAGTTTGCCACTCTTCCTAACATTCAGCCAAAGAAAAGGGTCTGAAAAAACTGACTGGATCTACTTTGTTCAGTATTTTTCTTAGTTGGTCCATTTGTTTTGAAGGGGTGGTGACCTCTTGGGTGATTTGACCATGAAACTGTGCTGTCCTAGCCTGAATAGTTTAATGGTTCCTCTCTTTGTTTAGTTGCTGCAGTGGATTAAATGTATTTCATAAACACCCAAACTGCTACTGATGATTGCTGATACTCCTGAGAGAAACTCAAAGATGTAGCTGAAGGTTCACCAAGTTAAGCAGTTAAATGCACCTTTAAAATCCCTCGAGGTTGAATCAGGATCTTCTTCTTCAATGACTATCTGAATTGGCAGCATTTATGGGGAAGCCAAATTGTCACCCTATCTCTTTCTGCTCTTCTGCCTTTCTTTCTGCTTTGGTTTCAGATTTCAATCTCTCTCCTCATGATGATTACAGATGATTGACTCTTTTTATCATCCCCTGTACAGCAGATACCCAGCATGCAGCAGGAGCCTGGGCTCCAGGCCAGGTCCTCAGGTGCTGCCCTCCACCACGACTGTTCATACACTGAGAACCACGTCTGCTGCCTCAGCCTGTTGTCTTCCTCAACAGCCAAACCATCCCATAACCAGTCTAAGCTTCCTGTTCCATCTAACCACATCTCAACTAGAGGTTGCAATGTCCTTTAATGGTTCATTTCATCTCAATAATCACACACAAATGGACGTGCAGCCAGCCTCCAGAAACAAGACGACAAACAGTATTCATGCTCAGAGCAGCAACCACAGGAGAGGTCAGTGCAGTGAGTAGAAGGCAGCTGTCTGAGCTGTTGAGGATTTTAACATTTCTCCTTCCATGCAGAGGATTAGCTCTATAACTTTTTACATTCTAGAGCACAGCTCCACATAACTAAGCATAAATGAGCGATACAATTCTGCCATGCTGAGAAAATGCCACAACAAGGAAAGAGCTTTAAAATAACCAGTCAGTTAAGCAAAAGGCTAACATTTCTATGCCCAAATTGCCAGTCATATGTTGTGTCTCATCTATAGCACAGCAACCTGTCACTAGCCACGGTTTAATAGCCGCTTCCACAGTGTTACAGTGCTCTACCACCCGGATATAAACAAGCACAGATGACAAAAAATATCATCTCGTAGGTCCTTGGAAAATAAGCTAATCCATGGCTAACCCAAAGCATTTTTTTCTTTATGTTGAGGTTTTCTGTGGGCTAATCAAGTTAGTCCACTGAGATATGACAAAGCAAAATCTCTGTCACTGTGTCTCTTTAAGCACCTGTATTAGAAGTACCGATGGCTTATAAAGCAACAATTTATCATGGTGAAGATAATCAGACTTTTGCCCCTGTGACGTAAGGTGGGGCTGGTCTCGGTTTCTGAACAGTGAATAATGGTCTTACAAGCTTTTTGTGGGGTCAGTTTACTTATATTAACAAGCGTTGGGTCTTTGAAAGCTCTATGCAAACCCTTATCTCTCTATTAGTGCATGTTCTGATGATCTTGCATGTTCCTATGTGTTTGTTGGTTTTTGTGTGTTTATCATGTTCAAAAACAGTTTAAAAAACTATCTAAAAGAAAAGTAAATCTTGTACTCCCTTTTTTTAAATTTGGCTTTCCTTGTCAGCCATGTCAAGAACCAAACTTATTGTCTCTTCTTAAAAATGATTGAAAAAAAACAGAATATTAAAGGTTGTTGTATTTTTCTTTGTAAGGCATTTTCAACCTCCTAAATGTGTAACATTAAATGCTGCCGAGCTGAACATGATGTAGACTGTCCTGGCTGCAAGACAGCCAAATGCTATCAGTATTTAAACAGTTCATTTTTCTGTTGATGTATGTATTGGTATTTTAATAATTTTATTTGCGTTATTTGTCTCTCAGATAATGGAGTGAAAGCTGAGACCTCTCCTGGTCCGTCAAACCCTGTCCGAACGTCCAGGACTCACAATGAGCTTCACAGAGAGCTGCTGCTGGCCCACAAGAAGTAGGTGACCAGTATGAGCCACGAAATGGTCCAAACATCATGTAATAACTTATTACAAACATGATTTCATCTTTAAAATTAAGGACATGAACAGAGACCCACTCAGCTTTCTTAAAAGCTTGCATGTGCTTTTGTGTCCAGCATATAAACGCCTCTCAAGCCTCTCTGTGCAGCCATTCTTCTCTAAAGCAGGCGTCATTAAGAATACATGAGAGTCTCAAACTTGCAATCATACACCTTCTCTCCATGCTGATGCAGTGAGTTAGGCCAAAGGGGGCACGAATCTGTGAAAGGTGATATGCTAACAGGAGAGCTGATCTGGATCCACGGCCAGCGTGTCCTGATAGCACCACTCTGCACAAGTGAAAGGGGTAGATGCTCGTGATGCTGGTTATCTGCTAATCCACACAATTTATCAAACTCAACCCTGAAATCTTTGCAAGTTTAGGACCAGATATAACTTTAATTTAACAGAAGTCACATGCATTAATGACATAAAGCAGAGTACAGTTGCCTCTTGTGCATTTTAATAATTATATTCTTGTCTAACTTAAGCTCCGTTTCTTCCTCTATGGGCTCAGGGGTTTGGCGCTAAGCAGCAGGTCAGAACTGCAGCAGGTGTTGGAGAAGAGGAAGAGGGTGCAGAATGACCAGGAAGAGGTGGGACAGAGCAGGTCGCCTCTGGAGGACGTGCTGCTCAGACGACAGCAGAGACAACTGGAGGTATTAGATACTGTCTGTAGAGTCAGTAATGACAGTTAATGTTCAATGTAAGACTCAAAAAGCCCTTAACTTGAATTTTCTGAAAAAATCCATCCAAAAATGAAAACGTGAGGCTCTGAGGGTCTGTGGCAGGGGTCAGCCTTTCCTAGGAGGAGTTGTTTTTGCATGTTCCTCTCACTAAAATTACTGTCTGGAGCTGCAAAACATTTTTAATCCTTTCCATGAAGATAAAGTAGCCTTAGAGTATCAGTATCAGGTGAAGAACAGCATGAAAAAAAGGCGAAAAATGCCCCTTGTTAAAGAACAGCTTCCTCGTAATAAGACTAATGTTTTGGAGCATCACTGCACATTTACTTAACATAAGAGCTTTAATTTTGAACTCCCCTCATAGCTGCAGGCTCTCATCCATGAGGCAAGAACCATTTTTGGATTTAATATGGTTCATTGGTGGAGGTAAACAAATGACAGGCAGGCCTCCAAATCTCCTTTTGGTCACATTTTACTTATCAGGGATTTAATTTCATATTTCAGTTATACGTTTAAGGGTGTTAGGAGGCTTTGAATATCACTTTTGTGGTTTAGAGTGAGAGTTTCACCAATGAAAACAAAATTAGCCACTGAAGGGGGTCAAATAGCCACATGCATCTCTAAACGGAGTTCCCTGTCTTGGAGTGAAGGTTAGGAAAAACTCCAGGTTAAGTGGTGTCCGCTGTATGACAGTCAGATCCTTGGCTCCTCGGGATTACCAAAACAAGATTATTGTGTTTTTGAATGCCTTAAATGAAATCTAGCACTCAGTTGTTTAGCATGATCAAATGATGAGCAGTGCTGTAATCTCCCATTAGGAGATTATAGTAATCTTGTACACAATATTTTACTTCTTGTCAAACCAACTCGGTTGGTCATCTCAAACTTGAGCTGATTTCATAGTTTTAGAAATCACAGCTCTCAACAAGAGCTCTACAGTTTAAGATAACAGGATTTGGTGATGTTGTATGTCAAAGAAAAGAAAAGAAAAGAGACACACAATTTTAAGGAATAAACTTTTTTTTAATTTTTATTTTATGAAAGACATCATGAAAACTGTCAGCAAGGAAAAGAAAACTGTCACTCAGGGGAAATTTGGTTTCTCAAAAATATACACATTTTATCTTACCATGCTTTGAGTTTTCCTCTTTATTTTCTCTGGTCAGAAGGAGAAGGAACAGGAAGACAAAGTTCAGGAAGAGACCCAGCTGATGGAGTTCATCAGAGTCCGACAGAACCTCAAAAAGATCCACTCGGCCATCCAGAACAAGGCTGCAAACTCCTAAAGGGCTGGAGAGGAATGAAGACAAAGTCTGACATGAACTCTGATCCACTCTGAGGTTTCTGAGGATGTAAATGTGTCTTTCAAGAGGACAAACTAGCAGCACAGAAGACAGTTAAATTTTCCGATCAACAAAGTCTGTTTGTGTATGAAAGCATTTCTTTTATAGCTGTATAAAAAAGTCATCTAATACTTTGTGTAAGTCAGATATTTGTATGAAATGTTGCTTGGTACAGTATTGGATTTTAATTACATGCTTGAAATTACGTCATCCTTGAACTGGTAATTTTTTACGTCAGTTACTGTCAATGCATGTCAGAGGTTTCCTGTTCAGCTAATGAAATGTTTTTCTATTAAAAACAGTGACACTTTTATAGACATTAATACTCATAAAATCATGAGGTGATGTGAATATTTCTGAAGCTAATAGTGTCACCCAGTTCGAAGGCCCTTGTTGTTTCATGCCTTGGATAGGATGGCTGAGGGCCACATTGTCTAACATAATAATTTTTAGCATCTAACTGTAGCCCTAAATGCTACAACAGTGCAAGGGTCCTGAAGATACTGTCCAGGTATTAGGGTGCAGATGACACTGAGGGAGATGGAGATGCCTACCTGCAGAACCAAAAAGAGCACTCTAAAAACTCTTGGGTTATTTCTTCAACCCAATCCCTGGGTTATACATGTTGAGTTAAATTTCTGGGTTATTTTTCAGATCCATACCCATTTCCTGGGTCATATGGATTCTATTGTAACCCAATTTGAGGGTTTTTTGAATGGGTTAATAATTATGGGTTATTTTTCTGAGAGTAACCCGATAATTTGGTCAGAACGTAGGGTTGAATTGACTCTACATGGTTTCTAGCATTGACATTATACATGTGGATGCCTCATTGCGTGCTGGAGCGTAATCCATCGTCACCGCAATGTTGACAGTGGGTCTCCCCACTCCAGTCTTGCTTAACAGCCAAATGGGGTCAATGGAGAATGAGCAACTATGCCCATATTTTTGCACTCTATGGTTGAAAAACCTGACGCAGTACTGAAACTGGACAACGAAGGATTACATATTACAAATAGGATCAAAAAACCAGCTCAGACGTCCCCTGGGTTAACAAGGTCTAGGTCACATGCTGAGGAACCAGGGCATTGTGAAGAGAAATGGGCTACTGGAACAACAAAGAGAAGGCAATGGACACGATGAGATGAGAACAAGAGTCTGTTGGCATTCTACTACTCAAGTAACCCAAACCAGTGGGGTTACATATACAGAGAGCAACCAGATAAGGTTCTTAAAGACTGCAATGAGGAACTCTAAATTGTAAAAAGGAGGAGAAAAAAAAAATCAATGAAGGGTCAGGGTAGGTTTTACATTTTAAGAACTGGTATAAAGTACATTGGAAAACAGGGTACAGGTTGTAAAAGCAGAGCTCCCAAAAAAAGCTCCCCAAATGCACATTTCAATTTAACCCAAGATCATGAGTCAAATTAACTCGAAGATTGGATTAACTTGACCTTCAAAAAGAATTATTGAGTCAACCCAAAATTTGGGTTAATTTGAATAACCCAACATTATGGGTGAAAATAACCCAATAAGTAGCCCTGTCACGCATTTTTGGGGCCAGAGGTGGAGACATGTTCACAAGGTTCCAGCCAACAAGAGCAGCTTCCACTCATTTAGGGACTGCAAGCTGCTCTTTGATGCCCTCTTGTGAATGTCATGGTGGAGATTCTTGGACGGGTCAAAGAGGAAATCATCTTTGTCAGAAAATTCACTGCAAGAGGTAAGATCTGGATAACAACGTTGAAATACTTTAACGTTTCTTCGTATTGTAGAAAAGAAATAATGGACTCTGTCAAACTCCTGAAATTGTTATTGGCTTTTCATTACAGTGCTACGCAACAACTTTTTTATTTCTACAATATCCTAAACCGTTTATACGGTTTAAATAAGAGAGAAGAGGAAAACCAGAGGAATATAATAGAGACATATAAAACAGCAAAAACAAAAGGTTTAAGTACGACAGTTTCAAAATGGGAGCATAAAAGGTACAGAGCAGATTTGAGCATTAAAAATAACGATGGAAACTAAAATGTTAATATAAAATGATCTGAGAAAGAGCCGCAGTAATAACCAGTTTCATGCCTACTCAAGTTAAATCTACAACTCAAAGATTGGTGCCTCACTATCAACATGAGGGGCATGTTATGTTTTGTTCATTTTAAAACACTATTGATGAACTTACATATTTCACATCTACTTTGTGCACAAATATAATACATCATATGGTATTTCTTTTAGTTATTGCTCATGTAGAGTGACCCAAAATGGTCAGAAAGGTTATTTATGAACCTAAGTTTGGTTTTTAATCTATAACTAATATCTTAATATATTTTAATATCTAAAAGTCAGTTAAGTTATCTTCAGCAATATTTATGGGAAACTGGGACCATCCAGAGAGCACATTAATGCAGGATATAGAAATATGCATATTTGGACACAATACTGAGAAACAACAAGCCCGTTTGTTCTCACATATGTTGTCATGCTTTTTTGGTTGAGTGTACACAGAGTTTTCAGGACTCAGCCACCTGAGGGTCCTGCCCCTCCCTCTCTTTGAGACGCTTTTTGAAGCGGCTCCCTCCTTAAATATGTCTTGATGCTATTTGTGGCTCCCTCATGACTTGAGAGGCTGTGATAACCTGTGAGGCTTTGGTTTCTTCTCCTCTCTGTCAATATGTTTTGACAATAGATTAGTAAAGTTATTAGTGATCATCCATAGAGAGCAGGTCTAACATCAGTGGCCTGACCTTTGACCTCTAAGATTACTTTACAGCTGCTGCACATAGGCAGGTGCTGTCTTTCTGTCTGTCTGTCCTGCATAGTATTAGCCTTACAACAAAGATTTATTACCCATAGTCCCTCTCCCACCCTCCCCACATGTAGAGGACTCCTATTTCTAGTCAAGGACACACAGTCAGAATAGCTCTAGACATGTTTCTATTGTCATGTAGACATACGACTCCTTCATACACTGGAACTATGATATGAAGTTACGATAAAATCTTTTAAATTACTTTCAATTTTAGCTGATCTATAGCGGTGCCCTTCACAATGTACAAATGCAGGGAGCTTTAGGTGTTAATGTTGAAATGGATATGAGTGACCCAACAAGCATTCTCACCGGTGCCACATCAATTGTTGGCAGAGTTTTCCAGCAGATCCTTTACACTGTCCTGAGAGTACCAGGGGCCTGAAAATATAAGCTAATACTATCTTACTGAAGAGATGTTGTTTTGGTTAGCTCACTATTGAAATAAAGAGTACCACACCATGGGGAAAATGTTTATGAAGGTGCTTAAGAAATAGTAAAATAGTCAGTAGAAACTCAAACCCCAACTCAAAAAGAAGTTAGGACACTGTGTCAAATGTTGACCAATGATACAAATCTTTTAAACAGGAGGAATTGGAGGAACATCTCTGAACTAATGAGGTTAATTAGTAACATGACTGGGTATAAAAGAAGGCATCCCAGAGATGCCAAGTCTCTGAGAGGCAGAGTGAGAGACTGCAGGAGAAAATAGTGTAGCAGCTGCACAATACAGTCCCCAAGAGTACAATTGAGGGAAAAGTAGTAGATTTCAGCATCTACAGTATAAGATATTACTGAAGAGTCAGTAAATCTGGAGAAATCTGTGTACAAAAGAGACAAGGACCAAAACAAATACTGGATGGTCCTGATCTTCAGGTCCAAATACAGCACTGCATTAAAAACAGACAGGACTCTGTCATATAAATCTTCTAAAACCCACTATCTGTGAACACAGTTTGTCAAAGCTGTGTGATCCAAAAATGAAGAAGATTTGACATTCTCTTTGGAAGTCATGGAAACAGAGTCCTTTGCTCTAAAATGGAGAGGGACCATTGGGTTTGTTGCCAGCTCCCAGTTTAAAGCCAGCACCCCTGATGGTGTGGGGATTTTTTTTAATCGATTGCTTTAGCCTAACTAAAACTTAACCTTTCAAAATCATGTAAACACATACCTATATAATCAATTCTCTTTTTTATGTATGCGACTCAATCAAACTGAAACTGGCCTGAGTGTTCTATGCATGCTCTGGTGTTCGCACGTACTTCGGTCCCATAAAAAGAAAACCTGTTCCTATCATATGAACTAACAGCCCAGCTGAAAAAACTACAGTTCTCATCACTTGAGGTACACCCCATTAATCTCTTAGTTATGTATTTTGGTGAGTGTTTTGATCTGTAACATGTCAACCAAGAGACAATTTGATAGTAACAACCTGAAAGGGGACAGGCCACCACCTACCAAAGCAGAGGCAAACACACTTCAGTGGTAATTCAATTTGGTAAATTTCTTATAAATTGGGACAATGACAGCAGTCCAGTTAAATCACTGTATCGAGCTATGACTTTACTGTGCATTTCAATTAATCACATTCAGGCTGTATTACAACAGCATGGCTCCTTAGTAGAAGAGTCCTGGTGCTAAACTAGCCAGTCTGTTAACCTTTGAGGTCATTTGGCACATCTTGACATGAAAATACAACAAAGTAGACCTGACATATCGTTCTTAATGAAATCATGGGTCCCTACTGTTAAAGTGCACTGAGTTCCCCAAAGGTTCCTCGTCCTGGGGCGAGTTCTTGCAGTGGAAACTTGGCTTAAGGCCTCCCAGAGTGGCAGTCTGCAACAGGTGGGCATGCTTAAGATTTCACACAGACACTAATCATACAAACCATTCAAAACAGTTGTAATGAAACTCAGCTGGACTTCATCAGTCAGCTCTCTGGGTGTTTGACTTGGTTTTTGAAGGTGTATGCTGAGTTGCTGTATGTCTCACATCTCAATCAAACTGTTATACTCATGCAGGAACCAATGACTTCATGGTGAGATCTGTAATTATGTAACAAACCAGTTAAAGACTCGGTGGAGGACAGATGGTTTGATTAAAAGGGACCTTGAATGAACAGAGGTACAGCTCATATCCATAAAGAGGGACCCCCCTCTCTTAAGCGCTGTCGTTAATGTCGCACTATTGTTAGGGAGCTTCTGTTGTTTCCTATTTTTAACTCCCCCTCTGTCTCTCTTTATCTCTGTCTCTCTCCGTCACTCCTCCCTCCATCACTCTTGGATTTTGCAGGATGGGTCGGGAGCTTTTTTAGAGTCTCACTCACTCCACCCACATTAAAGGCCGAGGCTGTTACTGCTGTCAGTGCCTGTCCTGTGTCTGAGAGCAGCAGTGGTGTGTCAGAGGCAGGGAGCCAGCAGCAGCCATGGATGACGTATATAAAGCAGCGGTGAGTACACATAAGGACAAGTATGATGGTCTGTTTAAATGCATGAAATCTACACCAGGACAAGCTCTGTGTTGTGCATCAATTTAAGGAAAAATCACACAATTTGTTGCAGGAGGAGAGCACACGAGGTCAGGTGGAACACGTTGAGTATCTGACAGTAACAGGTGTGACTGTGATTCCAACAAGCCTGGATCAAAAACAGTCACACTGCTTTAATGTCTATTCGGGAAAGTTTCCAAACTTCCTGTTATAGCTGGTTTTAAGAGCATGTTTTTTTTTTTTTCTTCTATTTTTCAAGTTATTCTGCTCACCTGGACAACAACAAACTCTTATGTTTTAACAAGAAGCATTAAAAACGTCCCAAAGTAGAGTTCACGATACACAAGTCTGCCAAAAAGGCTCAAGAGTTTGAAAATAAGACATGTTTTTAGAAGAGCTTTATTTATCCCCAAAGGGAAATTCAATATTACTGTATTCAATTTACTGTGTTACCCTGTTTATTTTACAAACAACAAATGTAGAGTTCAAGGTTAAGTGTTAGAAAACAGTTAAGAGTATTTTGGGATGTAAATTGATGATTTCTGTTTACAGAATTACTATAAGTTTTTAAGTCTGATCAGGGCCGTTGCTTCTGCCGAGGACGCTGAGGTCATGACCTTGGTATTATTTGGGGAGTGAGTATCACCTGTCAACAAAAAGGGCAACTTTTGTTCAAAAGACAGTGAGATTTTAAAAATATTGCTTTTTTTTTTTTTTCGATAACTCAGTTTTAATCCATTAGTCAGGTTGTTTTTGTGGTTGTTATTGGGAGTTGTACAACTGATACTATAGTTGAGATAATCTTAGACTGACAGGCTGCGGCAGTTAGTTCATATCTGTGCCTGACAATGGAATAAAGACCAGCAGGACAGTTCATGGAGGAAGAAGAGACGTGACAGCTGATGGCTTTTAAACAGCTCCAGAACCCCCCCCACTCCTCCTCCCCCCATTGCCCCCCCATTGTGCTCTGTCAAACAACAAGAATAGTAAGTGAAGAGAGCAGAGTGACATCGCAGACATGTTGCACTGAGGGCGGCACAGACCGTAGATTATCAGTGTAGTCATCGAGCTGGAGGTCTACCATGTGTCTACGGAGGTATTCATAGACAGTGACTAATCCGATTGTACCTAAACTGGTTAACAGAAAAAAAGAAAGGCTTTTATTTTGGAGGTCTGGACTCTTTTTCTTAAAGCCTTGACATTTAACTATCCTGAAAAGTAGAATATCACAAAAACAATAACAATATCATCTCCATATTTAATAAAGTTTTGAATACAAAAAACACACATTTTTCAAACTGAGGAAAGGAAACACATTTCTCAACACTGACCTTGAATATTACAAAGTGTCCATGCTGTCTCAGTGATGTCACTTATTTGGCTCTGAAGTGGTGTTTTAGGGTCTATCAGTAAAGGTATATTGGGCCATATTGGAAAGCTCCGGGAATATCTTAAATAGGGGATTACCGACAAAAGAAAGTTTGATAAGCTACCATGATGTGCCCCAAGGCTTTTTTTTTTTTTTTTTTTTGGAGAGCTTTCAACTGGCATTTTATGTTGCTAGGTTACAAAAGTTGCCTTGTGGTACCTGTGCATCCTTCATAATTATTGTTATATTTGTTTTAAAATACTCTGAAGCGTCTCATCTGTTTTCACTCAATAATGGTAAAGAAAACCTTAAAACAACAGACTGAAGGCTGACTTTACCAAATGTTTCTGTTGACCTATTCTGAAAGGCAAAGAGACAAAGTTAAGATGGGAATTAAACCTCCTTGCTGACAGCTACAGTGTGCCTACCTGTCGGTCGAGTCAACCTGTAATTCACCAAACTTGTAACGTTGATATCTTTCATACGAGCGCATTTTATAGATATTAAATTCTTGTACAGTGTGTGTAGAGAGATAAATGAGCTATTAAGACTCATTTCTTTCCTGTTTTCTTCAATTTGGTTGATGTCTCTTCCTCACTGTATTTCAACATCCCTAACTCCTTTTCTCCTTGTCTTCTCTGCTGTTGATCAAATATGTGATGTTTAGAAATTTCAAAAAAGATTTGGAGAAGTATTAAAAATTTCCGCCATGTGGTTTGACAATGTAATCTGAAAATAGCGATTCTGTCATATTGTAAACAGGAAGAGGCATTGTTGGAAAAGGTTGTCTCTATGTCATTCGCTATTTAGTATAAACGTTTTAACTTATCACAATCAAGTATCTGAACACATGGATTATCAAAGAGAAAGCAGCATTATAACTGTGTTTCTGAAAGACTTTAGAAATGGCCAAAGTTTTACAGAAACATGTTTACAACTGAAATAATAATCCAGATTTTCTTTTAACCCTCAAGGTTGAGAACTTGACAGAGGAGCAGAAAAATGGTGAGAAACCCCTTTACTGTTTTCTGAAATCTTCTCATGAACTCTCTCTTCTAGTTATACTGATGTATCAGTATTTATATAAATTCAATGTGAAGGATTTCTTTTCACTTACCTTTAATAACTTAAAACAATAGATTCAAAAGTAAAATAAAGTATGCAGTATGTATAAACCCCCTTTGTGTGAGCCTCCATTTAAAGCCTGAGATCACTGATAAAAATGTATCACCAGCAGCTGAACATACATAAATCTCTGACCCTCCCATCGGAGGAACTTTACTCTGTACAAAGGGTTTATCTTATATCCCGGCTGTAGCACAGTTGAAACTGCTCCAAGAACCATTTTAACTGAAGGTACCAGGACTAAATTTAGGTCCTGGTCTATGAATGGTCGCTGGGTCTGGATCATTGCAACTGATATTGTGCCCCCCAAAAACTTGGCCCTGCTTACAAATATGAGGTCCAGTTTCAGCAGGTGTTATACTGTCAATATCTGTTTCTCTCTTTGCTGCTGCTCTAGCACCTGTCTGGTTGTCAGATGATAATTATTGTTACGTCCTCTTTTAGAGTTCAAGGCTGCATTTGACATCTTCATCCAGGATGCAGAGGACGGCTGCATCAGCACCAAGGAGTTGGGGAAGGTGATGAGGATGCTGGGACAGAATCCAACCCCTGAAGAGTTACAGGAGATGATCGATGAGGTGGATGAAGACGGTACGTTGGCATCATTAAGATAGGAGTAGAATGTTTTAAAGCAATGTATCTGTATTTTACAGAAGGTTTGGAGATGTTCCTTCTCTGCAAACATGATACAGAAGCATTTGATGTGTTAAACATCATGTTGTTATCAACAGGCAGCGGCACAGTAGACTTTGATGAGTTCTTGGTCATGATGGTCCGCTGCATGAAGGAGGAGAGCAAAGGAAAATCAGAGGAAGAGTTGGCCGAACTGTTCCGGATGTTTGACAAGTAGGATGACTCTTTAGATTCATGTTAAACTTATTTTAAAACAAACCAGAGTAGATCTATGCTACCAGGTGACTTATAATGTTTGAAATATCAGGAACGGAGACGGCTACATCGACTTAGAAGAGCTGAAGGGCATGCTGGAGTCGACCGGAGAGGCCATCACAGAAGATGACATCGAGGAGCTGATGAAGGACGGAGACAAAAACAATGACGGGAAAATTGATTATGACGGTACTTCAGATAAAAGAAAACACATTAAAAAAACATCACAGCTTCATACCAACACAGACTAGCGCTTTAGTACCTCAGCAGGCCTTTGTAGACACGCCCAAGTGGACATTTGAGGAACTGCAGTTTGTTTGTTTTTTTGTTTTTTATATATACTTCTGCTCTGGCTTCATTATTTATGGGCAGATGTTACAGCTTGGGTTTGGCATTAAAATAAAGTGGTCAGGAGGTTGGGAGAAGTAATAAGATGGTTAAAGGTGATTGTAAGATGTTAAAGGGGGGAAACAAGCAATAAGATTTCTAAGGAGAAATCAAACTTTATTTTCTTGTATTTATTGGCTCAGATTTCAAACCATTGGGACTGTATTATTCCTAACATTACATATGATCTAACCACAGCCTTTTCTATCTTCAATACTCTGTTTGGCCACTAGAGGTCACCCATCCTATGACTTTCTAATATTTATCTGACCTAAGTTTTTAAATATTTTGGTTTTCCCCCTTCTGTCAAGTTTGAGTCCTCACTTAGATGCGGGTATTGTAACAAAATAGATCTTTGTAAAGCTCCTGTTGTGATTTTTAGCTGTAAGACAGCCTAACTTTGGAATCCTTGACAGTCATTGGCGAGCTGGAAATGAGGGGACAAGATATTTTATTTTGAAAATACTGCATCAACATGTTCAAGACACCATTTTATCTTCAGGATTCAACCTGATCAAATCTGACATTACCTCTTAGTGGCCCGTCACTGATGTTGTGTTTCTGTGTGTTTTCTCCTGCAGAGTTCCTGGAGTTCATGAAAGGTGTTGAATAAAGGATTGACCTGGAGGCCGTTGACTTCTTCATGATCATCATTTGAGGACTTTTGCATAAAAACAGACAGAAGTTTAATTCTCAGCAGACCTCTGTCCTGTTAGCTAATCTCTAACTACCCCACAGATGCACTGAGAGGTTTGCTGAGATCTCATTGACTGCTAATATCTTTGTTTCTGATAGTGCTGGTAAACCAAAGTGTAAAATGCAAAGAATATTTTCATTAAAAAGATTTGCATAATTGCATTTTTTGCCTGTTGTGCTGTTTAAAGCGTCGTCTTGTTTCAAGACATTATTTGGTGTAATTGCTTTCATGGCAACAGGTTCTCCTCAGCCTCTTTTCAGGAGTAAACTCTTGGTCAAGTTAAAACACCAGCCTTGTTTTTTTTATTATAGACAAATCAAACTGAACATTTCCTCTTAAATGAATTTTAGAAAGGATGATCAGGGGTTCTGCAGAATAATTCATGTTGACATTTTCCTCCTCATTCAGCTCCCGTTTTCCTCAGAGCTGAGCTAACGCACCTTAAATATAAATGTGTCCTGTGTCACAACTTTTAACTTTACCGTCTTATGACCACCGTGTGTGGTCAAAGTGGCTGTACTGCTGTTGCACAGATTGCAGTATGGTATGTTGCTCCATTTTTTCTGTTTTGGGGATGGTTGGGGTTCAGTACCTCCTCGGGCTGCTCTCACATCAAATTGAAATTTGAATTGAATTTCCCTTCGGGGATCAATAAATCTCAACTGCGTTCAAACTACCGCAAAAATGGCTAGATAGGAAGCAACTGAGTAAAGAAACAAAAGTACAGATTTGTACATTGAGGAAAGAAGGATACACAGAAAGAGAAATTGCAAAACGCCTAATGGTGTCTAACAAAGGAATCCACTACACTCAGAAGAGAAAGGCTGGTCTGAAGGGTTGTGTATCTGCAAAAAAAACATTACTTCGTCCACAGAACAAGAAAAAGAGATATGAGTGGGCAAAAGCTCACAAAAATTGGCCTTCTGATGACTAGAAACAAGTTTGCGCTGTTTGGTTCAAAACGCAGAGTCCATGTCCGCAGACAAACTGGTGAACATCTGAAACCACAATGTGTTACACCCACAATTCAGCATGGAGGTGGTAGTTCCATGGTATGGGGATGTTTTGCAGGTGATGGAGTAGGAGATTTGTTTGAAGTAAAGGGTACCATGAAGAAGGAACAGTACCACTCCATCCTCCAGCACCATGCTGTTCCATCTGGACTCAGACTTGTGGCTCATAAGTTTGTTTTGCAGCAAGACAATGACCCTTATCACTCTGCCAAGCTCTGTCAGGGTTACCTAGACAAAAAAGAAGAGGAAGGTGTTCTTCAAAAGATGGTTTGGTCCCCTCAGTCTCCAGACCTTTCTCAATAGAGCTTGTGCGGGATGAATTGGATCAATCGGTCAGAAAAACGCGTCCCACAAATCAGCAGTCTCTTTTTAATGAACTTAAGAAAGCTTGGAACGCAATCCCTGGAACACACCTTAGAAAACTTGTGGAACGAATGCCTGGTATATGCCAAGCTGTTGTTAAAGCCAGAGAAGGTTACTTTAAAGAAAGCAAAGTCTAAGCAACAATAACTCAAATACCTAACAATTATAGTCAAAATGTCTTCTGATAAGTTACTCTTTACACAATAGTCATGTTTATTGTGTTGCAAATTATATATATGAAACTATGATCTTTTTTTGTACAAATCTGATCTTGCTTCCAAACTTTTGGTCTGTAGTGTACATGTATAAAATCAACCATAGAAAAGGAATTAAGTAACATTTTACAGCTGGTTGTAAAATCTGAAAAATACCACAGCTTTTGAAGCTGCCATGGTTGCAGCTGTTAATTCCAAGCGGGCAATGGTGGTAGGTTTAATAGGAGCAACCCTTGCTTTACCCATGACAAGGACAATGTGGACCTGATTGCTGCTGTTTCGCAGGACTGAGTAGGTCACTGTTCCATAACCTTCTTCACTAGCATCACTGAAATGATGCAGCTGAGCAAAGATAGGGTCTCCAAAATGTGCTGGTTTGAAACACCTGTCAACTCCCAAGTCACTGACTAGTTGCATTTGCTTTAGCCAGTCAAACCACTGCTGAGCAAGATGAGTTTGTACAATGTCATCCCAGCTGAGCTTTAACCTGCAGAGCTCTTGCAGGATCCTTTGAGCTGGCAGAAGCACTGGTGCTAAGATAGCCATTGGATGGTAGATGGAGCTCACCAGGGAAAGGAGGTTTCTTTTAGTTGGTGGTTTTGACTTGGAGGACGATTGTGAAACTTAAGTGTTATGGAACTCTGATGTAAACGACACCCTGCAATTGGCCATGCTTCCTTCAGACCCTTTGTGTACGCCTGGTATACAGTGGTACCCAGCAATAGTCGGTGTTGATGCGCTTGTCTTAAAAGTGCATAATTCCTCGTTAGTATAGTGGACAGTATCTCCGCCTGTCACGCGGAAGACCGGGGTTCGATTCCCCGACGGGGAGAGCATTCCTTTGCTCCAGCAGCCGATTTTAAGCGCACACACAGGAGTGACACCATAGACCAGTGGTCACCATATGGCGGACCGCGGTCCACTTCCGGAAAAATGTATGTTTTTTTTCTCTCTTGTAGGCCTGCACGATATACGTGTGTGCGATAGTCACATCGCAGAGCCTGCCATGTCGGAGGTGAATGAACTCAGTTAATTTCAAGGGTAGCTGACTGAGATACACTGCATGTGACTCTGCATGTGCTGTGCACCGATCCACCAATCACCTTTGTCCTTTACTCAGTTGCCAATCAGACTCAGTTCTCAGTTGCCAATCAGACTACCCTGCCAGCTGTCAATCAAAAACAGAGAGGCGGAAACCCACCCCTGCACATGTTCTGCACATGGAGGTACTCGCTGCTGGTGTTGAGCCGAGAAACGCGTGTCCGCTGAGAATTACTTTCGGAACTCTACTGACTGTTAAGCCCAACAAATAAGAACTGTATGGGTATTAAATTGTACATTTCCGTGGACCACTCTACTATAAGCGGTGCGCGTTTTGCGAGGTGCATGCAATTCTCGGAGGACATGCGTTTCTCGGCACAGCACCGCTAACAACAACAACAACAACAACAACAACGATTGCAAAATGAGCAACGAAAAAGAGAAAACCACCGAAAATGAAGATTTGTTGCCAAAAAGAAAAGGAAAGTCAGTTATCTGGAATTATTTCGGTTAAAAGAAGGATGATGCTGACCAAAACACGTGTTCTGTGTTCATCTGTCGCCACAATAACGTCCCAGCACAATAAAAGCTATAAATATCTGAGACAGACAGAAGCCATTTTAACATTCACAAAAAGAGGTAAGATCAGTGCAGGTTAACTGTCCTCAAGATTTCAGCGGTGCAGCATAACATTAAATGCTATTCAGGTCATCTGGTGAAAATTCCCGTATTTTTAATATCGCAATATATATCGCAGGGTTGAAAAAAAATCTCAATGTTATTTTTTTCCAATATCGTGCAGCCTTACTCTCTTGCTTTGTGCCTGGTTCAGTAAACTGCACGTGCAATTCAAGCAAGGCATTACATCACTTGCTTACTCGCTTGACTTGTCAATCAAATCAGACCTCTTAGCCTACTCTACACATGAAGATTACCGAGCAATCCCGATGTTGAAACTGTCAGGCGGCAGACTGAAGAGAAAGTTGTAGCAGCAGCTAAACATGTCGGCTTCAAAACCACGAAAGGTAGAGAATGAGAACAGGGTGTTTTATGGCGAGTGGACCGAGTCATTTGCATTCATTTTACCCGCAGGAAGCACACAGCCAATTGAAAGTAGGCAGTTATTGGCAATACAAATGAAGTGAATATTTCAAAAGAGTAATGCACTGTAAAAAAGTAAATAAATAAAAATCCCTGGACCCAGGCCTGCAGGCATTTCATTCAGGTGGACCCACTGAAAATTTATATGAAGACCCCTGCCATAGACTGTTGCTGCGTCCGAATAGTCCGCTCGGATACTACATGCTACTGCTACATACTACTGCTAGATCCTACTCCTACATACTAAACACGTTGGCCCAATTCGGACACACTAGACGAGCGGTGGGAAAAGACGACCCCCGCAGGCAGAGAGTAGGTACTGGGCCCGTTTTAGACTCTGAATGGTAATTGTGCAAGTGATGGATGCTGCTGTATTATATTCCTGCACTGCTTTAGAAATTCACAAAGTAGCTTTTCCATGACTTTTAGCCTTCATTCACTCACGTGGTGATCGTTTGTTCAATGAGATCTGCCTGATTACTGCAGCTGTGCAGTTTAATGATGGAATAAGTGAGCTTTACCTCCATGATGTCGCCACATATTTGCTCATAAAATGATTACTTGGGCAACTATGACACCATGACATGACAAAGAGATACAACCGCACATTTTTTAGGACAGTGTGTGAAGTTACATGAAACTTACATCTGTACTGCTGCGGTCCCGCCTGCTGCTGCTGCTGCTGCTCCGACATGGTGCGCGCTGCTGTGGCCAGCCGGCGTTCGCGACACATTTAAATAGGCAGAGCAGCTGGTGGCACTAGCATCACATGCGCTTCTACAACTTTTAAGAGGACGAAGAAGAAGCCCGCGGTGCATTTTGGGTCAGTAGCATGCCCGTAGGATGCACCGAGACCAACCTACAATGTGGGCGTGTCTAGTATCTGAAGTAGTATCTGAAGTAGCATGCTACTCGCTCCGGTGGCCAATTTGGACATGCTAGATACTACTTCGACTACTACTTCGACTACTACTTGGCAATTCGGACGCAGCTTGTATATAGAATGGACAGAGTCTGCCTCCTTGCTGGGTGAAGGCACTCCGAGAACAGCACCCTCTGTTGATGGGCTGCAGTATAAGTCATAAATCCCGCCTCCTCCAGCAAAGCTTATGGAGCTGTGGACAAACCTAAGAAATTTATTACACAGAACATACATTTTTCTCCCCCCTGCTTGTGATGTTGACATGTAGTTATTGTAAGACTGGTTTGTGCTCAAGTCCTATTTTTTTCTGTGACGCTGTTCCATAACCTTCTTCACAAGCATCACTGAAATGATGCAGCTGAGCAAAGGTAGGGTCTCCAAAATGTGCTGGTTTGAAACACCTGTCAACTCCCAAGTCACTGACTAGCTGCAGTTGCTTTAGCCAGTCAAACCACTGCTGAGCAAGATGGGTT